GGGCTCCCACCCTTCTTTTGGTTTTTACTATCATCTATAATATCCAATGAGGTCCTCTTGTGCCTTATAAAAATAAACCTAATATCCTCTCTGTTATGACCTGAATATTTGAGTTCCCCCAGAGTTCATATATTGAAATCTTAATCCCCCAAAATGCTGATATTAGTAAGTAGAGCCTTTGGGAGGTACTTAAAACATGAGGGTGGATGTCTCCAGAATATTTTGATAGCACACTATAAAAAAGCCTCCAGTGAGATCCCTAGCTCCTTCCACGCTGTGAGGATACAACACAAAGTCTGTGACCCAGAAGAAGACCCTCACTCACCCATGCTGGCACCATGATCCTGGACTTCCCAGCCTCCAGAACTGTGAAAAAGAAATTTTGTTCTTTATAAGCCACCCAGTCTGTGGTGTTTTGTAAATAGCAGCCTGAACAGACTGAGGCCCTCTCCCTTGCTCAGAACACTTTACATCTATTAATTCTCCTTTCTTGCTTCCATTTATAGGGAAGTTTTCTAGGCAAAAGCCTCCTGGTTTGTTTCTTAGTGTAACTGATTAATATAAGAAATAACCTTATTTCTAATTATTCTATTCTATTCTATTCTAATTAGTAACCATATTACTAATTATTCTTCAAATAAGTTTTCACAGCTTCGTCCTGCATCATTATTTATGTCTGAACCCCTATTGTTGAACATTCAATTTACTTTCACTTTTCACTCATAAATAAAATGCCAATGAACATCCTTGTTGATAAATTTGTGGGTTCATTCCTGGTTATTTTCTCCATATACTAGGCCACAGGTCTGGAAAGAATGCCACGCTGTCAATGCCCTGGAGGACATCAGCATTTGGGCAGCACCCTGATCACACTGCTTATTTACATTGAGCTCTCAGTCAACAGAAACAGCCCCCGTTTTTGCACTTGTTGCTGGTTAACCGTATTTCTACCCAGACCACAGAACGTTTTGTTTTTGACCCACCATTCCAACCCTATCAAAGTTATATTTTTTAAAGTTTTTATATCTTAGTTTCCAAAGCAGGACAAGTTATGTGGTGTAGAAAATGTGGAAAACACACAGGTTCACAGAGATAAATAAAAAATATTTGCTAGTCCACAAGCCAAACAACAATTTTTTTTTCCAGAATTAAGACCAGAGGGTTTTCAACTTGCCTGGAACCCCCTGGAACCCCTTACCTCATAGAAGGAGCCTCTGGGTTGAGAAATCCCCTCCCCTCTGTCCACGTGGTCTCCTGTCTCACACAGACTCACTTAAAGACTCACTTCAAAAGTCTGGACTGGATCAGCCTTGCCTACTCTAGAAATTCCTGGCTTTCTCCCAGTTCAAATCTTCATAGCTTTTTGGGGATACCCTACATGTCATCACCTTAGGTCCATCCTCAACGTGTATTTCATGTCTAGCTGTGGGAGGAATGAGCTCTTTTTTTTCTGGCAATACTAAAGGGAATAGCTCCGATTAGACAACTACTAATATCAATGCCACTGCTGATTTAAGCAAGTATTTATTGTGGACCTACTAGATGCCCAGCTGCTTCCTCCAAAGAGCTCAGAGTTCAGTGGCTCTAGAGCAAATGGGAAGATGAAGAAGAAACATCCCTGAGGGAGTAATTCACAAATTATCTAAAGAGCAAAGTATAAGGTTTTAAAGATAATGAACATCAAAGAATAGCCTCACATCACCCCTCCTGGCAGAGCTGATCGCTCCCGGATTAGTACTGGATGTACCATGTCAATACCTCTAGCAGAACACTTTTCTTACCTTTTGTCTTGTTTGGGGACCATCGAACTCAGTGCCCCAACTCCAATTCATGGAACCAGTGCGGTTGCTGAACAAAGTACAGTCAGCAAATGCTCACGGTGGCAGATACTTTAATCTGCATGTAATTGCAAAAGGGGGAAAAAAACAACTTTTGAAATAACAAATACTTGCCACCTTAAAATCTGCCACTAATTCTTTGAAAGAAGTAGTTAAGGATATAGTAAAGAGGAGAAAATAAAAATTATTTTGAAATGTCATCTTTACAATTTTACAACTTTGCCACCACCTTATGGATTTCCTGGCAAAGTATTTGTATCTGAGCAGTGAAACTCAAGGAAGTACAAGGTAAATAAATGCCAAGAAATCTGAGTGACAAATTCACATCAGATTTCAGAAGAGAGAGACTAAAAGCCCACAAGTGCTAATCTAACTTCAGCTGACAAAAAAGAAAAACTAATGTAGGTTCTTTGGAAAGTCTGGAGCTGAGTAAGCTATAGTGTTTGAAAAAAATAGGTAAACAGTCCCTACTTCTGGTCATTATCTTCTGAAGTGCACGAGACATTAAATAAACAGTCATATTACGTTCAAAATACTTCTAAGATGAAAAAGACTGTCAGCCAAGCATTTGCAGAAGATAATGGCAAAGAAAAGAGAACATCATAGAAGTAAGACACCCGGAAAATAAAATCATTTAGCAGGCTTTCAGAACTGACAGATTCTGAAGGAGGCAGGTTTCTTCCCACCTAAATTTTTTTGAAAAGGAAAAAAAAAAAAAAAACCTTTTAAAACTAATGCTATGTTGTTTATTTATTTATTTAGGTGCTCTATGAGAACTGGAGAGGATTTTGGACATGCTTAAGTCCAACTCCCCCCGTCCCCTCCACCACTGGTAGGTGAAGAAACTGAGGTCCTGCATACTTTTCAGAGTCCGGGCCAAGGGTCCCAGCCTCGAACTCCTGGCCTAGTGCTCCAGATCACAACAAGCACATGGTCACCCCTGAACTGGATTCAGGGGCCATGCTCAAAAGGTTCAGGAAAAGTTCGAGGGCTTTCAAAAAACAAGACATGACAAGAAAATGCACTAAACTAGATCTTGTATTAGGAACAAATTCTATAAAGGACATTATTGACATAGTTTTTGAAATTGGAATATCAATAATAGTGTTCAATAAAGGTTAAATTACCTGCATTTGATAATGACTGGTTATGTCAGATGTTTTTGTTCTTAGGAGATACACACTGAAGTATTTAGGAGTAAATGGCTGAATGGTTCAGAAGAAACACACTTTTTTTTTTAAGAGAAAGAGATAAAACGAATATAGTAAAATATTAACAATTGGTGAATCTGAGTGAAGGCCATGTAGGGATTGTTTGTATGGTTCTTGCAACTCCTCTGTAAGCTGAAATTATTTCAGAATAAAGTATTATTAAATATTTCTAAAACTATGTATTTTGGATATTTGTCCTAGCCCAAGAATCAAAAATACTTCTATGGCCCCTTCTGAACTAGGACTACTCCAAAGGAGAAGGCAACGAGTACTTTGCACAGTTTGCAGAACCTAGAAATCTCCTCCAGACAGAATGCTGATTCACCACAGTCAGAGAGTCCTCCCTTCCAGTCAGGACCAACTGGAACCAGCAGAGTCGGAGTCCACAGACAGATGGGTTAGCTACGGGTACAAGTCCTGGGACCAGACAAACTCGCAGGCCATCTTAGCCCCTCACTGACCTTATGACTGAGGGCAAGTAGCTTAACTGCTCTGCATCTCAGCATCTCCATTAAATGGTGCTAACAAGAACTACTTCACAGTGATTGTAGAGATTAAATTACATAATACATACAAACCTCTAAGCTTGGCACATAAAACATTTTTAAGATGGGAATTGTTATTATGATTATGGATAGGTCTGAGCTTAAATGTATAAGCTGCCGGAAAGTACCTCATTCACTCAATCATTCATTTATCCCTTCACTCAAATCCATAAACTTACATTGTGACAAGAACTGTGCCAGAGACAAGCTGCTGAGCAATGAACACGATGATTCCCTCCCTCAAAGGGCTTACATTCCAACAGGAGCTGACAGTAAATGAGCAAATACACTAGAAGTGTGACCAGGGATGTGAATGGCCAGCATGAGGTTGGTCAGCACAGGATAAGAACACTGGGATAGGTGCCTACGCCAACCCGGGGGGGCCACGGAAGAGGTGCCATCTCAGCTGAGGCCTAAGAGATAGTGCGAGTTAGGGAAGCGAAGGTGGATCAGAGGGAAGGACATTCCAGTCAGTGGGAGCAGAAAATATAAAGACGGGTTACAGTGCCTTTCAGGAAACAGCACAGATATATATTGAGTTGGCCAAAAAGTTTGTTTAGTTTTTTTCCAGACAATGGCTCTAATAGTGCTTAGTTGTCTTTAACATCATTCGAAACAGTTTTGTTAGATTGTATTGTGACGGCTGTCATATCAGCGTGAATATTTTTAAAAACTTACCAAAACTGATGAATTTTGTGCAGCCATTTTAATACTGAAGATGGAAGAAGATATGCAACATTTTTGGCTTTATTGTTTCAAGAAAGGTAAAAACGCAAGTGAAACACACAAAAAAAGATCTGTGCAGTGTATGGAAAAAGTGCTGTGACTGATTGAATATGTCAAAAGTGGTTTGCGAAGTTTCTGGGTGGTATTGACATTTTGGCCAAATAATTCTTTGCTATGGGGCTGTCTTAAACATTGGAAAATGTTTAGCAGCACCCCTGGCCTCTACCACTAGAAACTGATAGCGAGAGATAGCCGACATATTCAAAATATCCCAATCAATGAAGTTATTGATAAAAAGGAAAAATGTGTCTTTTATTTTATGGAAAAAACGAAATGAACTTTTTGGCCAACCCAATAATACCTAAGCTGTGGAGCCACTGGGGCTGGAGATAGGGGTGTAGTGAGAAATTTTTCCTTGGGATGAGACTCAACAGTAGGTTAGAGCCAATGAGAGGTCCTCAGAATGTTAAGGGGCTTGGGTTTGTCCGGAAGAAATCCCTGAAAAGTTATAAGTGAAAGATGAATCAAGACAGATTAGAGGAAGCTCACTTCTAGTTGCCCAGGCAACAGCTCCTCCCACTCACGACCCACAGGAAATAGGTCCCTGCTATCCTACCGCGCAGGATCAGCAAGTCACGCGCCCACAAGTTTTCGGTGCCTTTGGACTTTCTCAGTCAGAGATGGCAGCAGAGGCAACATCATCGGAAACTGAGGAACCTTGGTCTTGTCATCCGGCATATGCAAGATACTGGCATCATTATCACCAAGCAATGGCTTGGATGCGAAGCCACCGGAAGGCCTACCGGAAGGCCATGGAGTCTTACTTCAGGTCCTCATGCAGGAGAGGAGCCCAAGTTTGGGCCACGGAGGAGGAAGAGGAGGAGGGAGAGGAGGAGGGAGAGGAGGAAGAAGAGGAGAAGGAGGAGGAGGAGGAGACCGATTCAGACGAGGGGGTGGAGTGCGACCTGAGCAACAAGGAGATCACCGAGGAACTCCGCCAGTACTTTGCGGAGACCAAGACGCACAGGGAAGAGCGCCGGCGGCGGCAGCAGCTGGATGAGAAGCGCCTGGAGGACTCCGTGAATGCCGACCACGACCTGTACTACAAGACATGCCGCTCCGTGGAACCCCCGTCCGAGAGGCCAGGCGAGCGGCGCCACGCCGAGATGAAGTGCCTGTATGGGGACAGCGCTGCCAAGATCCAGGCCAGGGAGGCCGCCCTGCAGCTGAGCTTTAACAAGCACTTCGACCGAAAGCGGCCCAAATACTGGCCGGTCATTCCGCTGAAGTTCTGAGCCCCGGGCCCCCGGCCCCCTTCCCCTGGGATTCTCTCCTTTTTCTGCTTCTGTGCATTTTCTTGGGGAAAGGGGACTTTATACTGAGAATTAGCATGCTCACCAAAGTGCCAGGGGCCTGTCATGGGGGTGATATAATATCAGGCATTTTTCAGCATCAGAGCCTGTACTGTTGTCAACCTGAGAGATTTTCTTTTGACATAAAATGATCATTTCATATGCCAAAAAAAAAAAAAAAAACCTAGGTTAGAATTATTTTATTTTATTTTTTCAAAGATTTTATTTATTTTTAGAGAGGGGAGAGGAGGGTGGAAAGCATCAGTGTGTGGTTGCCTCTCATGCGCCCCCTACTGGGGACTGCAATGGCGGCATGTGCCCTGACTGGGAATCAAACCGGCAAGTCTTTGGTTCTGAGGCCGGAACTCAATCCACTGAGCCACATCAGCCAACGCTAGGATTTTAGAAAAATTATACTGGCTGTAGCTGGCACCTCCAAGGCCAAGGCCATGGATGACACTGGCTGGAGATGATGGTGACAGGAGCTAGGCTAGATCCCAGATGAACCTGGAGGAGAATAAAAGGATTTGGTAATGGTCTAAATATAGTTTAGAAGAGGGAGGAGTCTAGGAGAACCCAGGTATCTAGGTCATGAGTGCTATTTCTTTGACTAGATGGTGCCCCCATTAACTGAAACAAAAAATATCATGCAGAGGGTAGTAAACACATAGGGGAGAAATGTTCTTCTGCTACAAGAAATTGCAAGGTTCATCAGTCACGTAGGGCAGGTAGGGTGCATCTGGGTGGGATGGGAGGGATAGAAAGAAGGCAGGGGCAGAAGAGTACAATTTTAAAGGGGCCAAAAGTGATGTAGAGATAAATTTGGGCCTTCTCACAATTTTGCCAAGGGCCAGGTTGACAAATTAAACATTTTGAGAACTTGTGATCCTCCCAGTAAGAACTATGTGAAGAGTTAGCTAAGAACTGAAGAAATTTTAAGATGTATACATTCTGTGAGCCAGCAATTCCACTTCTAGGAACGTGTCCTACAACTATACTGCCATTTGTGGAGCACAAGATAAACATACAAAGTCTACTGATGAGAAACTAATAAATCAACTATGATACAACTTCACTATGGAATACGTATAGCTATTAAAAGAATAGCGCCCTGCATTGTGTGGCTCAGCGGATTAAGTGCCGACCTGAGAACCAAAGGGTCACCAGTTCGATTCCCAGTCAGGACACATGCCTGGGTTGTGAGCCAGGTCCCCAGTAGGGGGCACTCAAGAGGCCACCACACATTAATATTTCTCTTCCTCTCTTTCTCCCTCCTGTCCCCTCGCTAAAAATAAATAAATAAATAAAATCTTTTAAAAACTATTAAAAGAATGAGGTAGTAAGTGTAAGTTTCATAGGGAATAAAAAATATCTGAAACATATTAAATAAAAAAGCAGACAAGGAGTAGCATACCACCTATAATATCCCATTTCTGTTTAAAAAGCACTCCATGTGGGTTTGGGAATGGGCTGTATCATGTATGTGTGTGTGGGTGCAATATAAAAAAATGAAAAGATGCACATTAAACGATTAACAATCCAGTCATGAGAGTAGAATTGGAGAGAGAACTGATTAGGGGTAAGTTAAAAGGAAACCTATATTTGCATTCAAATATTCTGTTTATTTTGAATTGCTTTTATAATAACCATGCCTTCATGTTACATGTGTGTATTTTTTAAAAAACATCTAAAAGTTGGGGGAGGACTTTGGTAGATGCAAAGACAGCTCATTTGATATTTATTCAGGTTCTACTGTGCATCAAACACTAAGAAGACACTAGAGAACAACAATAACAGAGGCTCTCCCCTCATAGAGTTTATAGTGTAGCAGCAAATGCAGACCATTAAACATGTGATGATAATAAGAAATGACAGCAGCTTGGCTAAGAGTAAGCATTAGGTTCATTTACTGTAGGTTTTCTATCCTTCCTCATTTTCTACCCCAATATAGCCTACAGTGTTATTCCTCCTGGTTCAGTGTGACAAACTCAAATACCTTGGGTGGTGGAAGGAATACGGATAATTAACATAAATGCATTAAATAAATAATAATAACAATATCCAGCATTTAGCCCTTGCCCCAAAACTATGCTAAACTAATTACTCCTTAACAACCTACAGGTAGGTATTCTTATTCCCATTTCCAAGGGTGAGTAATTTACCCAAAGTCAAGTTCCCAGTAGGGGAGCTGCAGGCCATGTGATTAATCACTCATGATCCTTGTAAGTGCGGCACAACTTCAAGGAAAGGCATTGAATTGAAAATTTGGATTTTATTCTGAGGGCAATGATGAGTCAGGCTCTAGCTTAGAGGGAGGATCTCGACTATATTTGAGGATTGGCTCAGAGTCACATTTCTCTAGAGCATAGGGTGAATCTAGGGTGACGAAGCAAGATAAAACTGGGAAGTTAGTTGGAACCTGATACCAGGAAATTGTAAGAAACAGAGAAACAAAAGAAGTTGATCAAGGAAGTGACACAAACAGGTAAGTATTTATTAAACACCTGTTCTGGGAAAACTCTGTCCAAAGATGCATGGCAATATAATAATTGTATATGTCTAAACGTGATTAGTCCTACCTTCAGTGCGTTTGTTGTCTAGTGAGGAAGGTAAAGCACACCCACATTGAGACACAAAGTAAGGAGAGCCTGAGAAGAACCAAGCCAGACCAAGAGAAGAGTGTCAAATTCACACTAACAGGCAGGGAACTGAAGGGCGGAAGATTTCGTTCCCAGCCCCCAGGCTTCCTTCCCTCCTGTCCTTCAGCACTAAGCCTTTGTCACCTCCTCACCAGAAATCTGCATGCCCATTCATATTAACTTCTCCATGAAACCAGAAACCTCGGGTCAGGAATATTCTCCTTAAACCAATCTAGTCATTTGCATTAAATTAACCCTAACTACTTCAGGCTGACTTCCCCCTGTTTGTGGCCTTCCCAAGATTCCGAGATCCTGGCTGTTCCAATACAATTGTCATCTGTAGAAGGTTAAAGGAAGATAAAACCTGCGTTGCATTGCCTGGCTGTAAAACCTGAACAAGAGAAATGGTCTTTTTTAAAAAATATTAAAAAGTCATTCTTTAAGAAAAACATAGGCTTAACTAGTATTTTTTTTCACCTGATTACAAGTTATAGTGCAATGAACAAATATAAACAGTGTACTATAGAACTAAACCCTCCATATCTCTACCCGCCAAAAATAACCACTGTTAACAATGTGGTATGTATCACTTCTGATGAACTTTTGGACTGCTACATTAGAGATAGAAAAGTAGATAGATAAATAACATTCATCCACACATGCATAAACAGATAAGCAATACATGCTTTTTTGCATCTTTTTACTACCAAGCAATGTAGCTTTCACACATTTTTAATGAGAGTAATCTAATACATACAAACCCTATTTTTCTTATCAAATCCCACATTCATAAATAATTGTTTTTCCTCAAGTATTTATCCATGCATTTACTTATTTATTGCTATTAGAAAAATTCTGTTTAACATTCTTGTATGTATATGTTTGCACAGCTGTACTAATAATGCTATGGAATAATTTCTTTAAAGAATTCTCCAAGAATCCATCTTTATTTGACCGATATTGAAACCACTCTAAGTGGATGAAAATACCTCCTTCACCCTGACTGGTGTGGGCCAATGGGTTGGGTATCATCTGGTTAAGCAAAAGGTCACTGGTATTCCTGGGCAGGGCACATGCTGGGTTGTGGGTCAGGTCCCTGGTTGGGGGTGTGCGAGAGGCAACCGATTAATATTTCTCTCCTTTTCCTTTTGCCTCCCTTCCCCTCTCTCTAAAAATAAATAAATAAAATCTTTTTTTAAAAAAAGAAATAAAGAAAACAGCTCCCTCTCCACCATTTCATCACACCAGATATTAACTCCCTGTTCACTAAAGAATCACTTTTAACTGAGACCAATCAACTCACTTTAGAGGAGTAAGGGCCCATAGTGGGCATTTCAGGAATATTCTTATCGCTGGGGCCCCAGGAGGCCAAAAATTTTATAAAAGCAACTACATATTTCCATAAAACAGGAATACACTTCACAACTTACCCCTTTTGTCCCCCCAGGCAAAATAAAAACAGAGACAGCACATTAACAAGTGCCTCCTTGCAGCTGGATCACGTGCAGTGCACTGATTCCGATTGTGGGGCTATCAGTCAGAACCCAGGCATCACACTCAGAATGAACCCGAGAAGATTAGTTTCGGGCAGGACACTGAAGAACTAAAAGATCTTGATGAATGGAGAAATGTGTTTTGATGGGAAATTATAATGTCCCAGTTTGGAAAGGTTAATTAGAAAATTCTCTAGGGTTCAGCTGGAAATTTTAGAGTGCTCTAAGAGCTTACCTTGGGGGCCATTACATAGAATACATTGTTATCAGACAAAATAAGTACTTTTGTGGTTAGGTAAGGCAGTGCTAGAAACTCTGAAGGGTGGCTTTTCTCTGGGAAGTCACACTTGCTTCTAACACAAGAGCTGGTGGCTGTGTGCCACCAACACTCAACAGGCACATGGACACTCCTTCACCTAGAGGCCCCGCAACAGAAAGACAGGTGCCATACATTGGTCAATCCAGTCCAAAGGCTTGTATTTGGGTGATGGCTCAGACACTGGTGGCTGAGGAACCCTGGACAAGCCACTTAACATAGCTAAACTCTGTCTTCTTTCTTGTAAAGTAGAGGCGTGCACAGGACGCTTTCCAAGGTATTTTTCAGCTCTGAAAACTGCCCTATTGTAAGTACACTAACCGTTACTAATTCTCAATGTCAGTGTTTATTAGACTGACCTAAAAGCTAACGAAGAGCACAGGGAATAGGACCTGGCCGGGGTATGTTCATGTCCAGTGGGGATTCTGATACTAACCAAAGTTTGAGAACCACTGAATTAGGGAAAAAATGAGAGAGCAGAGTTTTCTGAAAACA